ATGAAAAATTGAGACGGAAACAGTTTTCTGCTGCACCTGTTCCAAGTTCTCAGCCTCTTTCTCTTCAATCCACATCTTCTTCCAATGCTGGTGCCCAACAGGTGGAGAGGTTGGAGTTTGCTCCCCTCCAGACTCTGGAGCGATTATGACGCTGCCTCCTACTGGTGGCTTTCTGGTACTGCAGTAAAATTAATTACAACAGACGCCAACTCTCGAAATTAGAAATATACATAAAAACATATCAATTAATTTAAGATCAAAATAGAAAAATAAAACAGAATTTTCTCCTGTATTGATGAGTTTAATGGCAGCTGTTGAGTAGCAAGTGACAATCTGAATGCTGAAGTGTTAATATTAATGCATGTGGCTTTATTTCATTTTCTTATTTTAAATAATAAAGGTTTAATTCGCCAGTATTTACATGTAAAATTTAAGTTTTAGAGTTTTAGAATTTCTCTGCTTATAACAGCTGCCAATATCTGTCCAGAAAATGTCATGGATTATTTTAATAATTAATTCCTCAGGATAAATGTCTTTATCATACAACATTCAATACATTTTTCATGTTAAATTTGTGGCTAACAGAGGCAACCATTAATTAGTTATACTTATTTTTTTAAATATATTTTTAAAACCTCTTACATTCCAGATTTAGACTGTTTTTAGTTATTTACCTTTTTATTCCTTTTGTATCTTCATTAAAAGTGTGATTATTTTTAAGTTATTAGGATATTACTTCATTATTTTTGTGTATCTCTTTGGACTTTAAAGTTTTCTAGGACTAAACCAGGAATAGTAACTCCAGAGCTACAGAGTAAAGAATGTAAAGATGATCAGACAGGAAATGTTTCTTTTTCATTCATTTATTGATTTATTTTTCATTTCTGAAACAGAGGAGGCTCCATTAGGGAGATCAAGGTCAGGTGAGAAAAACAAACTATCCAAATTCTACAAGCTGAAGATACAACTATAAAATTGTATCTGACAGGAATTTTGATGAGGATTTTATTTCATGATAGTTTGTTTTAATTAATCCCAGTTGTTTCTTTGATCCAGGCCTTGTATTCACACACATCCATGATTTTAGCTGGCATCTGACATGCATATTCTCCTGTACATTCAGCAATCACACCATAAATCCTGTCGTCGAATTCCACTCCTGAACCAGAGTCGCCCTGTAGAAATTTTTTTTATCAATATCTTCATTTATGTTGTAAAACTTAAAAGTCTAGTAATCACTGTAGAGAGTTATTGAACAAACTTGCATGACATATATCCTTGTCCTGTGCTTCAATGAGGAATACATGCCCACATGTCGGGTCAAAGTGAGAAACAGCAGCAACTTTCATGTTGACACACTGAAGTTGTGTTGAAATACCAGCATTGCTTACTATAGAGAAACATGAGAATCATAAACATGTTCTTCACTCCACCTTTTCTGTAGAGACAGAAACACAGATTTTACTCTCACAGCTTCAATATTTCTCTCACCTCGCTTATTACAGGGGCCGGTTGTCGTTCCTCCCTCTCCTACCAGCTGAACTATCTGGCCTCTAAAACACAAGAAGAAAATGCAAAACACAAGATAACAATGTAAAACCGTAATTGTTATGAAAAACAATGAAAGAACAGAAAGTAAATCCATTAAGCAGTGTTACGATCAAGTCCACCTAACCCGAGACCAAGACAAGACCAAGACTTTTAGGGTCCGAGACCGAGTCAAGACCAAGACCGAGGGAAGTCGAGACCGAGTCAAGACTAAGACAAGCGGAACGTGCAAGATAGCACAATAATAAAATATGATCAAAATTGCTTCTCAAATTGATCTGAAAGATCCATATTCCCATAAAACACCTAGATATTAAATACTTAATACATTTTACCAATATTAAATATTCCATTTATGTGCTAAACAGCGAGGTCTCGTGCCATCCCTAAAAACATAACGCCCTGGGCATTTGCCCGTATTGCTCATATAAGAAACTACCACCACTGTCTGCACCATTAAACATAGCAATTGAGGCAATGCCCAGACAGTAAATAATGCTCAACTATGAACACTGACCAAGGAGCAACAAGCAAGAAGTAACCAAACAGAAGGCGCTCATCGTGACTGCTTTCACTCTGATTCCCAGTACATGAAGCCAGGTAGTCTGACACCATGGCAGACATTACAGCTGCCACTTTGAATAAAAACAATCAAAGAGCAATGTGCATGCTCTGCATGCTCTTTCGTTCTTGTGTTTTAGTTATTTGTTAATTTAAAAACTTAACAAATTTCTTTTTTAATTTTTGTTAATTATGTCAACGTAGATAATTACATAAAATAATGATAGCTACTGCAGTGTACGCAGAGCATTAAAAGAACAAAGAACAGGTGTTCTGTCAGGTCAGATCGTCATACGCTTAGCATGAACTCACGGGTATATCTGTCAGACACATCTTTACCATAAGATTTCATTTAATCAGCAACATAGTATCATGACCATGACATAGATCATCATACACTTTGTTATTAACAGTTATGGCATCCTGTATGGTGGCTAAGTAGGTTAATGAGTTTTACATGGGCGTGTGTTGTAGCTGACTCCAGCTGCAGCCAGACCTGCTTTAAATACACTTTGAAACCATGACAACGCATGTATATCTATATAGTTATCATTGAAAACAATTTAAGGACTTATTTTAATCATAACTTGTTGCGTATGGTGAACTGACAACTCCTCTGACTGTCAGACTTAATGCGCATGCAGGCATGGTACTCACTGCATGTATGCTATTCTGACAGCGTATGGTAATCTGATAGAACAATGACTCTCAGTGACACTCCAGTCCTATCTAATAAGTAAATAGCCGTGGAGAAGAATCGACTGTTTCTGAATGTCACCTCACTATATTGCAGACTTTTGGACATAGCGTTGTCCCATATATGCGACAAGTCAGTCAACACCTCCGCACAATAATTCAGCGCAGTGAGTGATAACATTTTTCATCACAATGCTTATGTGTCTCTGTACAGCTAGCTTTGCTAACATCACGTCATCAGAGCTTACCTTCTTTGAGCTACTTTTCTAAGTGACGAAAAAAGTTAGACGTTGTCTCCACCGTCTGTGAAAGTGAAGCGCTGCTGAGTTAGCTGTGGCCATCGGATTTCTTATGATTTATGCAGCGATATTATATTACTGATGATTAGACAAACATTTTCTGCCGCTGAGAGGAAACCACTGCGCATGTCCTGGAGCGCCGCGTGCGAGTAAAAGGTGAGGAGGGGAGGGGGGAGTAACAGAAACACATAGTTGATTGGATTTTAATCGGTGCATTTTGCATCCACTGAAAACAAAGATGTTAACAAATAAACTGGATAGTGTACTGTACGTTTAGTGATATTTTCACAGTTGCGGTCTCGACTGGTCTTGAAATAAAATGACGAGTCCTCAGCGCCCGAGACCGAGACAAGACCGAGACCAAATGCGGTCGAGTCCGAGACGAGACCGAGACCATCAAAAAATGGTCTTAAGACCGGTCTCGACACCAAGACCGATCTCGAGTACTACAACACTGCCATGAAGGAGTTCATCCTCTGACACAGGAGTGTCTCTGGTCCAACACAATGGAGCTGAACAGGTTCTGGTTCTGCTGGTGCCCTGATTACCTGACCCAGATGTGCTGAAGCAGAGGCAGCAGGACTGGAGGAGTGGAGACAGAAACCTTGAAGTCATGTTTTTGATCAGAGACTGACTTACTTCTTAAGGCGATTCTTGCATTTTGGTAGCAGAGCAAGTGGGACGCCTGTTACTGGCCTTCGAAGCTTCAGCAACATGATGTCATGCTGTCGGCCGTGGTCAGTATAAATCACAGGATCGTCTCGGATTACCTGAGTCTCCTGTGTAGCAGTCCGTGGATGAACTTTAGATATTACTACATTAGTCCTGCAGAAAAGGTAAGACTGTAATTAACTCACAGAAAACCTGGTTATTTGCAGAAAAACAGTTTTAATATTTCTTTCCTACCACCCTGGCTCCGACTCCCAGCAGTGAGCTGCAGTCAGGACCCACTCAGCGTGGATCAGAGTTCCTCCACACAGAGTCGATGAAGTTCCCTTTCTGCTCGACAGCCGAACATGATAAGGACGGTCGGTGACATGACAGTCATTACCTCCAATGATTCTCTTCTGCAGAGAAACATCTGAGTTCACTGAAACGCCTGAAGGAGAAAAAGGAGGACTTTACTCAGAAATCAAGAGCAAACATGGCTGCTGGAACAAGAAGGATAAAAAGCATCACAGTTTATATGCAAAGAAGTTTCAGTCTGGAACAGAATCAGAGAGAAGTTTAAGAGTCACAGAGAGCAGCAGCCTCTCTGGAACCAGTGGAAGTGTCTCCAGTGTGTCCAGTGTCTCCAGTGTCTCCAGTGTCTCCAGTGTGTCCAACTCACCCAGCCCCAGCAGCAGCAGAACCTTCAGTAAAGCCATTGCTGGTCCAGCTTCCTGTGAATGTCTGCAGTCCTGCAGGAACTTTTAAACTCTGTTC